GGGGGGGGGGAGAGAAGTGGAGGTTTGAGGAAAATCAGTCACTCCTTCACTCCCCCCCCCGCTCCACCTGGGAATGTCTGTTGTAAATCATTTTCACATTTGCGGCACATGTTCCCATATTTCTGGTGGATTGAATCGTACATTTTTTTATTGATATCTCTCTCCTCCACGCCCTCTATCAACTAGAGGAATGACCTTTAATTGCTTTTAATTCCTCCCCATTATTCCAAATTTGTTTGTAACACCACGCGCCCCCTTGGGAAGCGTAAATTCTTAATGGAATTTATAATTCACTCCTTCCTGTGTTAGCAGAAAATCTAATATGACATTCTCTATTGATATTCTGCAATTGAGAGGCAAAAAAGAAGAGAAACCGGTACAGTTTTTTGGAAACATCCTGTTTTTCCACCATTTATCGCACTCAAAGTAACACATTAGTCAAGAAATTGACTTTTCCGAAATTGAAAATAATATGACCCTTTGGGCACTTTGCTGGTTGACGAGTTTTACCCTTATCAACTCTTACATGATGATGATGATGATGATGCATGATGTCGGGTCATGACCTCGCGACTTCAGACCTCCAGGAGCGTTTAAAGAACGTGGATCACATTAACATGAAATGAAAATACGTGTCGTTTCGAGAGATCGGACTTCTAATGAGCGAAATTAGTCCGAATTTGTTTTCAAATGTCACTACTAATCGGGGTCAAAATGGCATGATTTGTCAACCAAACGGGTTAGCAGTGGAAGGGTTGAAAGTGCCTTCATGATTATATTCTCTTTCGGATTAAAAAATAGCTCCACGTTTTTAATGTTATATCGCATTCCTTAATTACCATCCCTGCTTTGCCAGAGGGTTTTGACCCCTCTCCGGAACAGCGTCTACCCTCAACAGCCATCACCACATGTCTACCACTTCTGCTTAAACTCAAAATTGAACATTCTGGAAAGCAGTTGTCACTTTTCAGCAGAAATTCGGTCACTTGCAAAGGCAAGTTGGACTTTATGGCTGTTTGTTCTTTGTCCCACAGAGTCTTTATTGCTGGTCCTGGTTGCTGCGTCTAATGTATAAATAAGCTGTCAATTTCACACGCGTTAGTGGCACAGTTATAATAAACCGAAAGTAGGTCATTTGGACGGTAAGTTAAATTAATTTTGACTTCACTTGGCGTTAAAAAAGATGCCTTGGTCTATGCCCCAAACAATTTTGCTAACTTAAAGTTACTAGCTACCTAACAATAATTCTTTTTAAGCGCGAATATCAAGTCACTTGATCTGGTATAGCGTAATTCCAAGTCCCGTAATGTCACAGGTGATTTTGTGAAAATGCACATGCAATCAGGGAGTTGAAGGAAGACCTGTGAATGGAGTACGTGTGGCATTATTGAAGCATATGTTCTACGCACGAGTTGAACATATTCTACGGTGCATACTTGCTGATTCAGATACTTGCACTTTTGAAAAAGCCTCAAATTACATTTTTTGAATGTTTTCCTATTTTTTTTATCTGACTTAAATGGGTGCAAACTGACAAATCCACTTGGCATATTGTTGAGAAGTCGCATAGAAAAGACGTAGCCGATAGGGTCACAATGTTGTCGCTTAGGCAGAAAAGGGGGATAGAAGAGAGTAAGGCGTTGAATGGAAGAAAGGAGGTGACCCAATGACCACAAACCTCCTATAAGTACGATGGGATATTGGCTAAGTTTAGCTGATGTCACGAACAATCGTGTTAACAGACCATTTCGATCAAGAAGTTGGCGAATTGGGGACAAGTGTTCCCATACTGCACTAGAATATTGCCAACTCATATTGTCAACTTCTCATTATTCGGTAGCAGCGTGTATGGTGGCTAACGGAGCAGTAGTTTGGTCTATTTAATATTGAGCAATTTCGACTTGCTCTGTCTATTTCATTTCTGATTTCTACTTCCTAACTTTTCCCACATGACATAAAAAATTAAAGGTGAGGTCTCACTCGACATTTGGTCTTCAATTATTTTTTTTCAAGTGGCAGACGTTTAGATGAGTTCGGGCTTCGTAGAGGGAAGGAACATCAAGGTGAAAAAAAGTCAAGAGGGGGGGGGGACAGAAGAGTGCTCCAAAGATGTAAAAGAGACAGACGCAAAGTTAGAAAAAGGGTGAGGCGAGTACTGTGGAAGTTGTGGAATATGACTTACTGTGGGGTCGTGATAGTTTGAAGTCAGAAGTCAACTGCCGAGTAATAGACTATTTTGCCGTATGAGTATACGTTGCCCAGGGTGCACCACTCGGTGGTAAGTCTATCGCACACCCCCTGGTCTTCAATTATAGGAAGAGCTGTTGTTTCCAATTTGCCATTTGGATGATAAATTGCACTATTTTTAAGAGGACATCTCTTAACCAACTTCGGGAGAACTTTCACAAATGTTTCGCCCCTTTTGCTAAAAATATTTATTATTCTATGTTCTCAAGTGGAATGAAGAGGGCAATTGTCAGCTCTTCTTCAACAACTCAATCACATCATTTTCATTTTAGCAAAAATGCCTCCAAGAAGGTTCTAATATGCCTTAATGCCTGTTCTTATCTAAAACTTACTTCAACATTACATTGCAGATTTATTTATTAATTAGAAAATAGCAAGAAGTGAAGGAATAATGCAACAGATGGTTTTTAAATTAACTTTTGGATTACCGTGAAGTATTACTAAGTCCATAACTTTAGGCTTTTTTGGGAGGTAAATTGAATCTTGAAAGTTTATTTATTTATTTCAAATAGCAGGCGTTATGATAGGTATCATTATCCCTTTAGTTGACTTCGTGCTTCATAGAAAGGAAGATGAACATCCAAGTGGTAAAAAGTCGAGAGGGGGACAGAATAATGATTCACAGACGTAAAAGAGACAGACAGACACAAAGGTAGAAAAAAGGAAAGTACTGTGGAATTAGTCGAATATGAAATGCACCGTGAGTACTGTGAAAGGGGTCGAATATAACAACCAGGGGGGCCGTGGTAGTTTGAAGTGAGAAGTCAACTGCCAGTTAATAGACATTACTTTAAAAGAGACAGACAGACAGACACAAAGGCATAAAAAGGGTAAGATGAGTACTGTGAACGGGGTCGAATATGACAAATAGTCGGGCCATAGTAGTTTGAAGTGAGACAGAAAGACATAAATGCATAAAAAAGGTAAGATGAGTTCTGTGGATGGGGCAATAGTCGGCTCATTGTAGTTTGAAGTCAGAAGTCAACTGCCGATTAATAGACTTGTTTGCCGTATGAGTATACGTTGCACAAGGTGCACCACGTGGAGATAAGTCTATCGCACACCCCGAATCTTGAAAGTTTAATGTTATCAATCTGTCTTTAATCAAATTGACAAGAGCAATAGTGAACGCCAACGTGTATGAGGACTAGCATTTAAAGTATCATAATGAGTTCGAAAAACCAAGGTTTTATAAGAACAAAAAGAATTTCTATTTGCATTATTTAAACCATTGGCAATGTCAATTACTTACAAACTCAATCCATTTAACAGTGACGAATAGCAAAACCTGTGATTTAAAACCTATGTTACATTTTCTCACCCTTTATCTAAGTAAATTGTTTGCGACATCATGAAATTTTTTCAAATGACAGGCTTTATAATATTTATCATTACCCCTTAAACTTTGACTTCAGCTTACCCCAAGGGTGGGGG